TGTCTTTTGTTCATATCTTGTCTGATTGACACGCAAATGTCGGTCCTCCACCTCCACCAATGGGACACACTTGACTTAGCTGCTGAATCAACAATGCAAGTTTTAGAAGATGGAGCCACAATGAAAAACACATTATCACCTTTCCGACATCAGAGACAAGAGTGTAAATAAAATGTCTAACTTTACCACTGTTACACATACCATTTATTTCAGCCTACCGCACAGTGGCTAGACTGCACCCACTTAAAAGACCAGCACTTTCCCTCCACTATTACTGATACTGTATCGCTGTATATAAGATTGGACATAAATGTGTGTGCGTGTGTTTGTGTGTGTTTCACACAAGGATGAGTGTGTGATTTCGTGTAAATGTAGAAACTTGTGTTGGTCTGAAAAGTAAATGTGAACTTGTACTCTACCTGCCAGTAAGTTACAGCTAGAGCCAGTTTTGTTCAAATAAGTTGAAGTATTAATGTGGCCATCATCTATAGCAGAGACAGACAGGAGACGACTTCCTAATGGAATAACTGGACTCATAAGTTTGCTGAACATCACATTTCCTAATACACCACTAAAGCATGTCCGAGAGTGAAATATTTGTTTGCTATTCCCCGTTCTTGCCACTCAAGTGTAAAAATGATTAACCTGTGCAATGCATACACCATTACCTGTGTCCTTTCACAGGTTGTTCCTATGTGATCCCATATCAGTGTTTGTTTAATCTACACAAGTACTTTTACTACAGTCTTATTGAAGGACAATGCTCTGTAATACAGCAGTGTTCCATAAATAGAAAGGTCACCCTTCGTCATCTTTAATATTGTGTTTTGAGAGGTCTTGGTACTTGAAGTACTTTTGAAATATGGAAAGTTGTTTACTTGGTTTATAGATGTTATATTTTCAAGTGATAGACATGTACTGTATTGCAATTGGAACTTATGCTTTAACCATGCTGTCAGTAACCCCATGTTAGAGCTCAAGATCAGCTGCTTTAGCTGTTCAAATTCCCCATGAAGGAATATGACCACCATGGTTTTCAATGTGAGATTTTAGTCAGTCTTGAATTTATTTTTTAAACTGTACCAGCATAATTCCTTCTGGAAGATGAGATCCATCCCCCAAAACTTAAATGATCATGGTATCCAGTTTAATCCGAAAAGGAAGCACAGTTGAATTTAAATTTTAATCCTCTTTGGAAAAGGAAAGTCACCCCTGTCGCTGCATTTACCCAGTATTCAACATCGAGGTGAGAATAGGTCTAATAGGCTACAGGTTTCTTTTTGACCGCAGATTCTGAGGACTGTGTCCACTGTCTGAATATGTTCTTCACTTACCATTCCATTATCAATAAAATGGTTTCATGTTAAACAAGACTCCACATCTCTCAAACATGTTTACTCAAGTTACAGCCCACTCAAATGGTAAGAAACTCCCCTGCACTGCTACAAGTGGACTCAAAAGCAACACCTGAAGTGAAAACTACTCACTTTATTTGCAGTCCAGCAACATACTTTCACTGCTTCTCTACAGCCATGCCAAACCTCATATTGGGCCCCAGGGTCACTTTAAACAACCCAATACACCAGCGACGCATTTAAAAAGCAGCTTCACTTCAAGGCAAAATAAAGTGGTTACATAAATCTATACAGAAATGTTCAACTTAGAGAACCTTTTGGTTCACATACCAGACTGCTGGTAAAAAAAGTATTATAAAATGGACAAATGAGCAACTCATTTTGATACGAGCTTTTTGTGTTGTCTTTTTAGCTTGGTCTACCTTCTCCACAGACTTGATTACTTCAACAGCAACTGTCGGTTTTAAATCCCTTACAGCAAATCGACCCGACAAAAAACAGATCACTTCAAAACTGGCTTCTTTCGGCAGTAATGACCATTTAAATCCAGTTCCTTACCCAGGGGTGGATAATGAAAAGCTCTCCACACATAAGGGTTTGTTTAGGACGAGTCTGGACAGTGGCACCATCTCCTGACATCAGATATTGGGACAAGTCCTCCAGTTTCTTCCATGTATGCAGATCAAGCTTCTCCCTTAGTTCAGCAAAACGACAGGAAACATTAGTTGTGACAGTCTAGTACAGGGGAGTAGCTAACCTTGATTTTGCCTGGGTGGTTCAGCATTATGATCTGTTGAAATACGCAAGAGAATTGGTTACACTTTGTCAGTTTGTTCATACTTTACCTCAAAAGCATAGCTACTGTACCAGAGCAATGAAACTGCTCACATCCAATGGTGGGTCCTGCTGTGCATTACCGGCTACATCACCTCTCCGAAGGTTCTTTACAGACACATTTTTAATGTTGAAGCCCACATTGTGGCCAGGGAGGGCAGTCTGAAGCCCCTGGTGATGCATCTCAATTGACTTGACCTCAGCAGTCAACTTTGCTGGTGAGAAGGTTAGAACCATTCCAGGCTTCAAGACAACAGTCTCAGTCTTACCCACAGGGACTGTGCAAACACCTGGGGAGGGGAACCCAGTTTAGACAGTCACAGTAGATGTCAAGAATCCTCAACAAGGGGTTTTATACTTCAAGACCTTACCCATTTGGTAGTTTTACCCACCACCAATCTTGTAGACATCTTGTAGGGGAAGGCACAGTGGTTTGCTCGCATTGCATACTGGAGGAAGTAGAGAATCAAGCACCTCCAACAAGGTTCGGCCATTTGAGTGGCCTTCTTTCCTCTTGAGTTTTCACCCTTTGAACCATTGCATCTGAAACAAAACATGCAAGTAACTGAGGTAAGAAGATATAGTCTATCAGGGGTGCCCAATCCTGTTCCTGGAATCTACCTTCCTGAAAGTTCAGCCCCAATCCTGATTAAACACACCCAACTATCATTTTCAGGAGCACTTGATAGTTACAGACAGGAGTGTTGGAGCTGAACTCTGCAGATAGGTACCTCTACATGAACAGGATTGGTCTGTCTTCATGGCAAGGCTGTTAAGAATGGCATTACCTTTTGGGATGGGGCAATCATGTTCTCACCACTCCAACCAGAAACCGGTATGAAAGGTACAGCACCCATCTCAAAGCCAATCTTCTTGATGAACACAAAAACGTTCTTCACCACCTCATCATAAAGTTTCTGGCTAAACAGTGGCTCGGTGAGGTCCATTTTGTTGACCGACCATGAGCTGTTTGACCCCAAGGGTGTAAGCCAGCAAAGCATGCACTCTCATCTGACCATTGCGAGAAATCCCAGCCTCAAACTCACCCTTTGCAGCAGAGACAATCAGTAGAGCAGCATCAGCCTAAGAAGTACAAAAAGATCACCATTTAGGTCAACTTGATTGTATAGGAAGTACCAGAAGAGCTCAACTCCTGAAGATGCATCAATACCTGTGAAGTCCCTGTGATCATGCTCTTGATGAAGTCACGATGACCAGGTGTATTTATGGGTGTAAAATTTCATCAGGGAAATCTCAACTGTTATGCCACGTTCCCTCTCTGCTTTCACTTTGTCCAGAACCCAGGCATACTTGAAGGAACTCTTTCCTATCTTAAATTAAAAAGAAAATAAATAATAACAACATTCATAAAAGGTTATTAAATTTAATACTAACCTGGTTTGTAGCCTTCTCATACTTCTCAATTGTTCTATGGTCAATTCCTCCACATTTGTAGATGAGTTGACCAGTGGTTGTGGATTTACCACTCTCTACGTGGCCAATTATGACCAGGTTGATATTGATTCTTTCTTTGTTTCTGTTTTACACAGCAAATACTACACACTCCTTTTTCAAACCACAGTAATTGGTGATTAAGTCCTGGTGTGATCAATAAAGGCAGAAACTGCATTGATGCAATAATAACCACGCCCACAATGAATTACAATAGGCTAGCTCAGGGCTGTCCAAACTCGGTCCTGGAGGGCCGGTGTCCTTCAGAGTTTAGCTCCAACCATAATTAAAAACACCTGAACCAGCTAATCAAGCTCTTACTAGGCATAGAAACTTCCAGTCAGGTGTGTTGAGGCAAGTTGGAGCTAAACTCTGCAGGACACTGGCCCTCCAGGACCGAGTTTGGACAGCCCTGGGCTAGCTGATGTTATATAAAGCATAGGCCTACTCCTGTATGTAAAAAAAATAAAACACTTCAAATTTCTACTTACCAGATATCACAGGTATCAAAACACATTTGTTTGTGTCTCCATTAAACCGCAGCTTTTAGAATCGTTCTGTATTTTTTTTCTTGACGGCAGTGACATCACTTAGGCCTAATTCAGAATTTAAAATGAGAGCACCAGCCATATGGCCATGTTACTAGTTTTATTCTAGTAACAATAGCTAATAACCAATAATGTATTTGTATGGAAACCATGGTTACTACTAAAGTGATTTTTTTAAGAGCTGGTGATCTCGGATTAAGGCCTAAGCTTCATGATAAAAATGTTAGAACATTTTTGAAATGATAAAAATTGTTTTGGAATACGTGGTGAGTTGCTGTTGTACTGTACATGTTTTTTTGGAATTAAAATGTTCTCTATATGCTTTTTTTATTTTTACATTTTTTAATCAAATTAGGGTTGGGGTTGATGAATGGCTCAATTATTTTGAATAAGCAAATTTACTGACCAAATTTATGCACGTTTCAACATCCATGTTTTGTATTAGCTACAACCTATAGCTAGGCGAAGAAAGTAAACGGCTTGAACTAATTTACTAAGTTTAGGCATATGTAGCCTACTGAAAGTTGTCAAATGTGGGAAAACTCTATACAAATTTCAAGTATCATTTCACGTGACAGACAGTATATGTGATTTTGTAACAAAAAAAGTATTGATTTTCTTGGAGAGTGTGTCGTCATTAGTAACTTGTTGCATTTGCACAGGTTGCACAGGAATGAGTTTATCAATCAGGTGTCGCTTATGAGCAACAGCACGAGTTGACCGGCAGGGGGCGACCTGAGTACTTCATTAACTTAAGTTATATTATAACAAATCATCTCATGTCCAATGCACACGCGACTACATATTTAAAGTAGTATACATGGTTTTCTTATTATACGATAATGCTTGGAGCTTGATTTACGGTGTTTGGTTCAAATAAATGCGAGAAGCACATGACGTTTTATTAACCCGGAAATAACAGTCGGTAAGACAGCTGAGAGAGAGAGAGAGAGAGAGAGAGAGAGAGAGAGAGAGAGATCTAAACCCTTCTCCCTGGAGCTTATAGCGTGCTACCTGGACTCCATACGTGTTTTACATCGCTTCACAATCAAAGGTTTGTCTTCATTCCTCTCTTATGTATTTATGCTGCATGTACCGGGCTTTATTGTGTATATTCATAACTCTGAATGCATTAGTGCTGTAGTACAGCATGTGACTGAGCGGTGTGCGTTCAGCACGATGGCACCAGTGGCCATCCGTTGTTTAAAAGGGTATTGACAGGAACAGATGAAAAATGAATGTTTGACAGGGGTTGTGGGTGAAAAAGTAAAGCAGCTATGTATCATACAATGCAATGCAGTGTAACTCCTGCCATGCATTGTGCAACATTGCTAAGACCTGCTACTGTAAGATCTTACATTTTTCATAAGCAAGAATGTTCCTATGGTTATGGAAAACCTGGAAATATCTGGCTATTTTTGAATTGTTATTTACAGGTCTGAAAAAGTCAGAGGATATTATTTGTATCTTAAAAGCATATGGAAATGTGCACTTCTTGTAGACATACTCAGCTCTACAGTGTTTCATGGCAATTCATTGGTCAAAGGTATGGGAACATAAAGCCCAGATGATGCTTCTGCCCAGATCCTAAGTAGGTATTGAAATCTAGTATTCAAGTGTAGTGCACAACATTTCCAGTGTGACTAAGTGTGTTTTATCTATGTGCAGTTTAATGAAAGTACTTGCAAAAAAAATAAAAAATACAAACTCTGGTTCAAAACTCCTTACATACCAGAAAACCTGTGTTTGATTATGACCATGTGACTCTTATGGTTTTTCCTAATTAAAATCATTGGTATGATGTATGCAAACCAAAATAGCATTTGCAATAGTAATGTCAGGTTCTGCAATTTACACTTTATTCTCCCTTCTTTTCAAAGTCTTTTCCTCCAAAAAGTCATGTTAATGAGAGATCATCGAGTATTGGTGTGGCATAGAGCACTGGACCGTGTGGTTTATATATCCATAGCTCATCCCTGCACATGTGAGGTCAATCATGAGCCCTGATGAATACAGTCTCTTTACTTAATAAACCTCCTCATAGATTAGGCTGCCATTTCCGATCATATTGGATAAACCTTTGCCATCACAACCATTCATGTGCAGATCCTCTTCACACTGTTCGATTAACATCTTATCGCTTCTCCTTCCCTTTCCTTTTATGGTATGTAGGTGAGGCTTGAAGTCAAGCATAGCATACAGGAAGACTCTGATCTGGTGGTTTCTGACACTTTGTTGTGTGTCAGCGCCATAGCCTATGTTTTAAGACATGGCCAGATTGAGATGTGTTCTTAATGTGGAAGCCTGTTTGTATGTGTAGGTGGATGTTGCCCGATGGGACTGCATTTATCATCATTGTAGCGTATCAGGGAGCAAATTGAATGGATCATCGTTTATGTAAGTTTGATGAAAAATTTACAGGCTTGGTGGTCACGGATATAATCTTGCATAATATAGACACATTCAAAAGTTTGGCGTCACTAAGATATACAATATTATTTATTTATTTTAATAAATACATATATATATTATATATTTATCCATTGAAAGAAATTAATATTTGTATTCAGCAAGGATGCATTAAATTAATCAAAAGTGACATTTATAATGTTTCAATAGTTTTCTGTTTCTGTTCATCAAATACTAATGAAAAAATGTGTTTCCATTTTGGATTTTAGCAGTTCATGCTATTATTAGAGTTTAGTCATTTTTAGGCCTGATTTTTTTTTAAATAAATGTTTTTATTTTATTTTGTTGTTTGTAATGTCAAATCACTTTACTCCAAAATATAAGTTGCATGCTATGTGTAAATCATCAAATTAATGACCTTGGAGGCAGGGTACTGTGTGCAAAATGGTAAAAAATGTTTAACTTGTAAAACACATTGGACTGTGGCAGGCATTGCACACATTGCTTTGCCTGCATGTCAGACTATGAGGGGTAAACATTTTGGCTCTGCTTGTTTAACGGACAGATGAATGTCGTAAATAAAGGTACTTGTAAGCCACTTTTGTGAGGTAACTGACGTGGAAGTGGTAGGTGTGTGCATCAGTGTTTGTTTGTTTAAGAGAGGACTGCCTTAGTAAGCATTTAGATTAATTGTGTACAATTTTATTTAACAGTCCACAAATGGAATTAAAGGCACATTGTGACCTGAACTGTATTGAGTGGTGGGGTTTCAAACTAGTCAAGCTTATGATCTCCTTGTGCTCTTGACTCATGGCTAAAATATCAGCTGTAATATTTGTGTGGTGCATATTTCATTGTGTTATCTACAGGTTAGCTGATAGGACACATCATCTTTTGTCAAAAGAGAGAAGGCCTTGCAGCTGGAGCAAAAGTGGAATTTCCTCAGAGAAAATTCATAGTTGAGAAAAGCATTTTTTTGGGGAAAGTTCATGAATTGTTATTCATTGTTAGAGACACCAAGAAATGGTTTGAAATGCTCAGTTTTCTTTCTTTTGTGTTGACACATTTCCTATTGAAACAGGATGTTGGATTGATACATATCAAAAGGCTGATCCCTTTTTAAAATATCCAGTTTGTCACAGCCATGCAAAACCAAATTAAGGCGCTTCCTTTGCAATAAATATATGGTTGAAAAAGGAATTCAATAATTAAAGGGGTCATGAACTGAGAAATCAATTTTCTTGATCTTTTGACATATAAGAGGTCATGTACTATAAAAAACATCTTGTAAGTTTCAGAACTTAAAACTTTCTTGTTAGTTTAAAAACAGCTTATATTGTTGCCACTCTGCCAAAACGACAGCTTGTGGAATGTGCCACTTTATGACATAATAGTGTGGCTAAACACCACCTCCACAGAAGAAGATCATTGCCTGCTTCTACATCACTGTCTGTTTAGCCCCGCCCACCGATTCACGTATGTAGTGTAAATAACGAGAGAGGCAAACGCAGGTCTACGCAGAAATCAAATGATAAAGATGGCTCTGAAGACAGGAAGACGCTGTGCAGGGCCAAACAGTGAAAAAAAAAAACATTCTTCTGAACCCAACCTTAGGAAAGAGTGGATTAGCTTTAATGAAGATCCAGATTTCGTCAGTAAGAACTTGGGGCCCGTTCTTCGTACCTCGCTTAATACATCTGAGATGATTTGAAAGATGCCAGATCTTCTAATCGTGATGAACTGATCACTGATCTACAAATTTTCGGATTTGATTAAAATATCTGGATTAAGTTGTCTAAGATTACTGCGCGTTCTCATGTTCCCCGAAAAGGGCAGGTGTATCGATACCCGAAACCACAATCAGCAATGCAGCGATTGGCTGGCGGCAAGACAGCAGTAATGACATCATATAATTAAAAAAGAGACCTGATGAAAAACTTGACAAATTTCTGGACTTTTGTAAGTAAACAGCCAAGCGAACAAAACTACATAAATGGTATAATAGATAAATGAAATGTGCAATGTTTTTATTTATTATTTTTTTTACATGATTCCCAATTATTTATATTCACGATTTCTAGTATTTGTACAGGCTTTACATTTTTATTCCAATGTTGTAGTTAGCATTTCATTTAATTTTATCTTTGAAACCCGATTTGTTACGTGACAGCTTTAATTAAATTTTCTTTAGGGTCAAGATCAAGATCTGCATCTCCTGCGCTCCATCATCAAGCCACTCCCATAGCACCACTCTAATTAATGCACGCTCAGATTAACTGTATAGCACGTGTGTAAGACTCCAGTACAATTATAAAGTAATTATTTTATCATGAATAAATATTTCAATTAGTAAACCTGGCTGTCTATATACTACACAACATTATTATATTATTTTTCAAATAATTTTTAAATGATTATTATTGAAAATTTCTGTCCCTGGATCAGTAGGGTACTCTTCTAAAAAAAAGAAGCAGTGGCTGAGACAGATTTTAAGTTTCAATTCTGCTTAAAAAGATGCGATCTAATCCTGGTTACATGAAATAAGCCTGCTCCCAAGCAGGTTTAAGCTTATGGACCTGTTGCTATGACAGCAACTCCTGGATGTGCTTTGAAGAACCAACTAGGGCTAGGTGATATGGGCAAAAATTCATATCTCTGTAATTTTTGGCCGATTTACGATATACGGTATATATCGCTGTATTTTTGTTTTTGTATTTGGATAAAAAAAAAAAATCTGTTTTTAATATATATATTTCACTTACCATAAAATGATCTTTAAAATGACAATAATATCGCTTATCGCAGTTATTTCTGGGGCAATATATCGCACAACAAAAAGTTGTTATCATGACAAGCCTACTTACCGCCCAATGTTGTCCAACAAAACAATACATATTAAAGGCTAAACAAATAAAGTGAATGTAACCATGTAAGCCTTTATACTATGTGCAAAAAAGGGTTAAAATCACATTTCATTCTAACATTGTAACATTGCAATCTAAAAACAAAAATAAGGCTTTTAAAGCGGAAGTTAAATTCACTAAAAATGAAAAATAAATGAGAACAAAAGCACAGAGTTGTGTTAGGCTATTTTGATTACCCCATTAGTCACTTTACAGTCAGTGCTGTAACTACAAATATTTCAGCGAAATGTATATTTTAGTCAGAATTATTGTGCTGATATTTAATTGGGCTCCGTCTGTTTGGCGCGCAGCGGCCCTCGTTCACTGAAGTCTGTGAAGCTTAGAGGAGAATCTCAAAGCAGAAGGCTCATGCACTTCTGACAGAAAAATGGAAATATTTCCATGACTTTCTAACATTTACAGACGGAGAATATAGGTGAAATGCAAGTTATGCATTAAGGGAAACCGCACATCTCAAACACATTAAACAGCGTGAGTAGCCTAGTAGGTATGTTTACATGGACACTTTTTGCTTCCATCGGAATGAATTAATTCTGATTGACGAATCCGAACGTAGTGTTTACATGAACGCTAAATAAAGTGATTGTATGTTTATATGTCACAAGCTTCTGATCGGATTTACTCTTTTGACGTGCGCACACTGCATGAATATACAGTTTCCCCGCTGTTGTCGCATACTGTTTTAAAAAGCACACTTGATTTTTATCTACTTCGGGTCTTA